GGCTTGATCCGCAAAGTATTTTGGTCGGGTCAGGCCGGGCTGAACTTAGAACTTTTAGGTATGCATGGATTTGTAATTTATATGTATACCCAGCACCGAGAAATCATAAAAATATAAATAGTAGCTTGAGAAATACATTTATACCGCTTAGCCAGCAGAAGCATTACAGATACAAGATGAAAAAACGCAAAGTGGACAGACCGAGCCGGGCCAGAAAAGTTTCGCGATTGGTCGGACCGGGCCAAATAAGTCGGGCCGAACCGGACCTGGTCCGGAAACTTTCATCATCGGGCCGGGCCGGGTCAAAAATTTTCGGCCCGTGTGGATCTGCAAGAGATATGAGTGCTTCATTTCTTGTCCGATTTCTTGGGCCTTAGTTCTTCAGCTTCGCCTCCTCCACGTATGTTTCAACCGTCGGTGCTCATTCTCTATAAATTTCTCAAACCATACAATATTTAACCTTCAAACTTCGTGTAAATAATCTATAGGCATTGCGAAATATTTGACGCAATTCTGAAATTGAAAAAAGTATTCCGAGACTAAGTTATGAACTTTTTTCCGAAAGAACGTCGTATTTAAAAGTCATCCTCAATCGTAAAATAGCTAGCTGTATTTAACCGCATTCTCGAAAGTTTAGAATGCTCAATTTTCGCCTTCAGAATTCGAATTTTAGTTTTCGGAAAAGCGCACGATGTTTATGAATATCAGATGAATTTCTCCTGCAACACACATATAAACAGGATTTATTACGTCAACAATGGACAACACTTTTGTTTCTTTTATATCCAAAATAGAGAGGATGAAGCAGAAAGTACATTTCGTATTAATATAGTAGTCTTTCCACATTTTTGTGAGCTTTTTGCTTCATTTCTTCTATCTACAGATGCATTGTTCGAATTAGAGTGAATATTTATTTTCAATATGTTATGTGTAGGATTATGTTTGATAATTTGAAACGGATGATATTTTTTTCACTCTAAAATTAGCACTTGGAAAATATTCCTATTGTTAAAATAAACAAATGCTAATAATATGATGATGAACACACACAATCCTTTGATTGAACGCATTGTCTATAGAATCATTTGAGTAGAACTATCAACAACAACGTGTATATATATATCTTTATATGTGTGTATGTGTATATATATACAATCTAAGGTAAACACGAGTCTACTGGTGATAGACACTAACACAATAACTGTTTTTAGAAACAGTCTCTTTTCTCTTCTATTTATTTAACTGCATCATTTTTTTTTTTTTGACATGGGAAGACATTGAATCTCAGCATGAACAAAATAGTTAAAAATAACATTCTTGTTTTCCTTTACTTAGAGATGTTACAACAATATGATCATTTTCGAAATCAGGTTTCTTCTATAATTTAAAATTTCAGTCTAATAACAAATTCAGACGTATTCAGTCGAACTTTCAATTTATTCAAATATTCTGTAAAAATTGAATACAAGTTGAATCTCAGTATCTGCATCTGATGACTGGTAACAAAATGATATTTCTATACCAATGTTTGTGTATTTACAGATTTTTTAATTTGATGTTTGACGTGTGCACAAATGGAAGCTACTACTGTACTATAAACTTATGTTTCCTATTTTAAATATAATTCTTAAACATACAACAAGAAAGAGGAAAGAGACCGATGTATACTGAGATAATAGAAACTTTTTTATATTTCATTTCTTGAAGAGACACTCTTCTTTTTATGTTCAATCATCGAATAAGAAATGTTAATACAATAAGTTAAATTCTAAAATAAACAGTCTAACATTTGATGTTTTAAAAAACAAAATGAAACGCCACAATTCAGTACATCCAAAATATTATGATAAAATCCTAAATCATTTATTCTCAATAACACTTGTTACTATTAAATGGGCAAGAATATATTATTCTTAATAAACTCTTAAGTATGTTAAATCAAGTTAAGAGTGTTTTAGTCGCAATTGCACTAAAGTTTTTATTTCATTTATTTTCTCTATCATTAATATGTCTAGTGAGTTTTCTTCAAAGTCACTGATTACTTTGACACTCTAGATGAGAAAATTATGCTGTCAAATGATTATTATATAATGAATAACATAAGAATTTAGTTGTGTTTTTTATGAGTAAATTATGATTAATAAAATATTCACTAATTCATTGACAGTTGTCAATTTTTGAACAAATGTCCGTTAAAAATTATTGTTATGGACAACAGACACTTCCGATAAATCCCTCATTACCAAATTAATACGTTGAGATAGTAAATGTGAAGATAGAAGAAAAATACTACTATCAATTTGAATGAGAATGAATGAGCGTGATATGACTGCAAGAGAGTAAGAGTAAAAGAATGTTATCCAAAAGGAGTCATCATATTTGCTGCTGTAATTATAAAGAGCTAAAGATTTTAGCTTATGTAGAGGAAGTGTCAAGTATTTTATTAAGCAGGTGTTACTTTAGCAATCAACATCTGCTCAATCACTCAATCATTTATGATAATAGAGATTTGTCTTCTATTTGGATTAAAGTATCTCTCTCCATCTACTTAACGATTTCGTTAAAAAAATTTTATTTCAAAGATGATGATAATGATCGACTTTATCATCATTTCAAAATGATAATCATAAGTATGTGAATATCTAAATGAATATTTATATGATAAGACAAATGAATGAGAATATATTTGAATAAGTGATCGAGTACTATGTTAATGAATCAATGTCTATAATAAGAGTACTATTAAAACTAATTAATTAATTAATATTAATTCAATCGAACTATGCATAAAATTTAAGAAAGAAAGAACTATCATTTGAATATGTGTGGAGAGCAGACATCCATTCATCCTTATGAATTAATAAGCTATAACAAGAACTTGTTATTAATACATTACAAAATTCTATTCAAAAAACATCATCTATTCTCTCTAATAATCATTAATATATTGCAATGATGAACACTCAATGGGAAAAAGTACAGTAAAAACATTTTCTTTTTTTGATCAATTTAAATTTGAAAGATGTTTTAGTAAATCTCATTTATTCATTCTTAACTCTTATTTCATGTGATATAGAATGGCAATGAGATTTTTTGATAAATCAACATGTATTTCCTTTCTATAGTTTATTGCTCTCAGATAGAACCTAACACAATTAGTGATAGTCTGTCACTTTTTCTTTTTTCGTGGCTGATCTACTTTTACAATTTTGTGTATGAACATGCAGCCAAGATAGCAGACAGTATATCTACAATTGAAACTTGACCAACCCGAAACCTATCTCTTCTTCGATTCTACACAATTATTTTCTTTCTTTCTCTCCCATATGTATTTTAGTACCGTTTTATAGAGAAGAAGAAGATGATGAAGATGAAGTAGACAACGAACAGTACAGTATTTTCTCTCTCTCTCTCTCTCTCTCTCTCTCTCTCTCTCTCTCTCTTTTTCTCTCAATTGTACGAACTGTATAATATAAACAAAACGAAATAAAATTCTTTACGATGATACACTTGCTCTAAAAAGATTTATTTTATTCATCATCGATTTTGTTTTGTTCCATGTCCATTTCTTCAATACTGACAATTAAGTTATAGTAAAAAAAATGTACAATAAATTATAGTTACATTTATGAAGAAAATTTGATCACATTTTTTAAATCTATTTTTTGTGAATTAAATTTACTTATTTTCGACATATTTATTGATCTACAGGTAATTTGACGTTTGATTTTTTACTAGAGATCTATCACTAGACACAATGTCCAATCCAATCAACATGTACTTTTTATTTATTTATTTATTTTGGTAAACTTTCTTTGATAATATTTATGTCTATCGCGTAATACGCGAAGAATGAGTGTAAATATACTCATTCTAAACATTTTTGGCCTTCGTAATCAGAAAAATTCCCTTTAATGTGCGTGCAGCTCATATAAAACAAAAGTATTAATTAAAATTTCTCTCTTATTTTGTTTTTTTTTTTTGGTTCAATTCTTCGGATCATGTGAGTAATGCACGCACGCTACTTTTAAGATCATATTTTCAAAGCAGAATTCTTTTTCGTTCATAGTTCATTGAGTCTATATGTATTTCGATATGGATGACATCAAATTTCTTTTTCAATTTTTTATTTTATAATTTGTCTAGAGTAACATATTAAATGTCAGATTATATCGTTACTCACATTTTGACATACACAGATAGATCTTAGAATTTCTTAATAACAAACTCTCTCTATAGTCAATTAGACGAGGAAGACTAAAAACAAAAAGAAATTTAATGCAGATGTTAAATGATATGTAATACATAAAATAGTGATTCAACATTATTTGCTAAAAAAACTGTTCAAATATCTGATTTTATCTCAATGATAATTCAAGAAATTTGAATATTAATGAATTTTTATCATTTATGGTGAATATTTCACTCGAAAGAATAATATAATATAAATAAATTGAATGATGATAATGATGAGAAATATTATTGTTAGAGGAAAATTATCTAATTATAATGTTCATATAAGGATGATAATCAATAGGTAACATTTATGTTTTTCTCATCATACCACCATAATAACCAAATAGAAAAAAAATGAATGATATTAATCTCCTGTAGATTTTTGTTCATTTCCACATAAATGTCCATTATTTGGTGATATCTGCAAATTAAAAAAAAGAAAAAATATCTCATTTATAGACTAGTAAATTGTTTTTGCTTTCTAAATCAAGTTCATCTGTAAATAGTAAGGTTCAAAGTAGTTGAACATTAATTGTCATTATACTGTATCACTAGTGTAGACAAGTCCACACGTTCTTTTTTTTTTTTTCTCTTCTTGTGTAATAACTTGTCATATCTGACGTTTTGGTGTGAAAACAATCATCATTCATCCATTATACACTATCTTATATTCACATCAATTCCTTTATAGTCTATATTGTTCTTTAACAGGTTCTTTTTTTGTCTCGAATATTAATGGAGATTGAAGGAAGTTGAATTTGAGAATGACCATACAATTACGTATGCATGTCTCAATTTTGAAGATATGGAAAACACTTTTAGGATTGTAATTTTTGATTTTCATCTCTTTTCATTCATAAAACGATGATCTTATTCTTGTTTGAATATAATAGATATACGTGATGTAAGAATCTCTATTCTAATGTCAAAAACAGCTGTGAATGAATAAGAAAATTATCTTATTGAGAAATCTTGATTATACAGATGTTTAATTTTTTTTCTTTTTCGTTTAAAATAACTAACTGTTCACTTGAAAGTTAAATTTTATCTGTACATATAGATTATACCGATAATATAAGTAGACAGCGGTAATAATAAGAATTTTTATTATATAATTCAACTCAAATGTATACAACACACTTCATCTAGCTGTTAATTAACATTTTACTCTTTATTTACATCTCTGTAGATAAAACTGTTTTTTTTTCTTCTTCAAAAACACAAATAAAATATATTCAAAATTTATATGACTGATAAATCGTCAATTGTAAAAGTGACGTCTTTTCATAGTGATTTTGGATTCAACTATTAACTTTTTAACAGTATAATTCGATATATCATAGAATAAATAATAAAAAGATTCATTAACAATAGTAAATAACATCGTCTCCTATTTTATCCTTAATTTTTACGGTTCAGATTCGACAAGTAGAAGAAATGTTTTTTTAAGCACGATATGTTATTAATCATCTATTGAAAAAAAATGAATTGTTCACTGTATTCATTTTGTTTTTTTCTATGCCTATGAAATGAGCTATTAAAGAGAACAATTGATGTCGATCATCGAAATATTATTATTGATTTGACACACTTCACTTTCAATTAGTCCATGAATAATCTTTTGTAAAAGAGAGAGAGGGAGAGAGGGAAAGAGAATCATGAAGATTGTTCAATTTAAACAGTTTCACTTTTTTCATTGTACACTTCCCAATGGTAAAAAAATAAATGAAGTGAAACTATGAACGTGTATAAATAAAAGTAGAGCAAATGTAAAATTTTTATTTATCCTAGGGAATTATACATTGAATACATACAAATACACAACCAACACACTATACATGTTTCTGAAAATAAATATCAGATGTTCAAACATGAAACGCAAACGTTTTACGTTGAGATAATAATTTTGACTATAAATTAGAAAATTTAATTTTTGTTAAAATTGACACACGATTTACTGATTTTTCTGATATTTGAGAATAGAAACAATGTGTCCGTCCGCTATTCAAAAAAGTAAAAAAAAAAGTTTATTTTACTTCAGTTCAGCCCTTCTTCAATAATATCATATTTTCTGATTCACTAACAAAAACATCTTATTAGTGATCTAAAGTAGAGTACAGATCATGAATGATTTCTACATCTTCAGAAACATTTGTTATGCATATTAATTAAGATAATTTATTACTCTATTTTATAATTTATTACTCAAACTATTTTATTCTATTTTAGAACAATTTTTTTATATTTTATATGTCAAAATGATTTTTTTATCATTATTTCAATCATTTACCATTATTATCGTTACAATTGGATGTATATACAGTAAAGGTATGTTGATATTTAACTCAAAATAATAGTTTCATTTATCTTCTATCTCAAGGACCACCAAGATTATCGTCATCGAGTCCAAAAATTATTGAAAAAAATGAAAATGAAATGTATGAAATGGAGTGTCCAATATCTATTGAACCTAATTTAAGTATTCAATGGTATAAAAATAATGAAGAAATTGATTCAACATGGACACAAATAGTTATAAAACGTTTATCATTAAAATTTCGTAAATTAAAAATATCAGATGAAGGTTTATATAAATGTGTGGCAGTAAATGGTTTTGGTAGTACAACGGCAGAAATTCAACTAAATATTATATGTATGTTAACAATTGTATAATATATTCAATAATTTTTCTCATAATATATTGATGTTTAGCTAATGGAACTATAATAAATTCATTAAATCAATCAGATAATCATCTTCAAAAATCTTCTTTACCATTGGAAGAGACGTATAATGGAGGTAAATAAAAATTATTTTTTTTTCTTCTAAATAATTTATTAATAATTCAATATTATTTATTTCAAATTTATTTAGAAGCTCCACAATTTTTATCAAGACCTGAAATGATATCAACAAAATTGATTCAACCAGAGGGTACAACAGTTCAACTAAAATGTTTGGCAAGAGGAAAACCAAAACCAGAAATTAAATGGAAAAAAAATGGAAAAATATTAAGTGAAGATGAATATGGAATGATATCGTACGTTTTTATATATAAAATATTATTTTTTAAATAATTTTTATTATATATTTCTATTATTTATTATAGAAAACAAATATTAGAAATTAAAGATCTTCGTCAATCGGATACGGGAAATTATACATGTGAAATATCAAATCAAAATGGTTTTATCAATGCCACTTATATTCTTATTGTAACAGGTAATATATCAGTTAATAATTTTCAAATATATATATATATATAGATAATTTTATTTATTAAAAAACAGAAAAAGTACAATTTTTGGGAAATGATCCAGAAAATACTACTGTTGAATATGGTAAAAAGTTAATATTAAATTGTAAAATACAAACAAATGATCCTAATACACGAATACAAGTAAAAAGTTATTATAATTATAGATTAAAATGTTTTATCTAATCTATTTTATTATTTCTAGTGGTTAAAACGTCTTCCAAATGATTATTATCGTTCAAATGCTATTGTTATTGACTCTGAACAATATGAACAAATTCAACATGAAACATTGAGTATAAATGAACGATTTATATCAAATCCATTTATTATTCAACAAACAAGACAAATAGATGGTGGAACATATATTTGTTTAGTTCAAAATAATCATGTAATGAATTATAAAAAAGCTTTTGTACAAATTATTGGTACTGGTAAATAGTTTAAATAAATAAAATTATTATTAATTAAAAAATAAAAAATAATTTCTTTCTTTTAAGATTCTGGTTCAATATCAAAAAATTTAACATTATCGAATAGTATAAATAATAATTTAATATATTTTATTTTAATTCCAATATGTTTAATTGGTTTAATATTATTTTTAATATTTTGTTATTATCGAACACGAAGACGAAAACAATTAATCAAAACATCATCCAATTGTCATCCATCACATAGGCCAATGATTAATCATCATCAACAATATCATAATGGAAGTGGTGGTGGATCAACAACAACAACAAATAATAGAGTACGTAAAAATGATATAATTAATAATAATTCCATTACTAGTGCTGATACTCTAACACGAATAACAAATAATTCTAGTAATAGTGGACAGTCAACTACCGATATTAATAATCAAAATAATTATCGTTATTTATCTTCGTCAAAACCAATAAAATCAAATAATAACGAAAAACGTTATGTTCTTAATAGTTATGCATCATCTGAATTATCAGCAGTAAACAGTGGACTGTATTATTCAAGAATTCAAGCTATATGATGATCAAAGAGTAAAAGAAAATTTATCAGAATTGGAGCATAACAGTGATCGAGTCAGAGAACTGTGCAACAAATAAAAATTAATAAACTGTCACTATACAATCAAATATTTTTTTTTTTGCTGTTAAATTTTCAATATATGTTGTTATTTCCTTCTTTCTTGCAATTGTTCTTGTCTTATCAACTTCAATGTTTTTTTCTCTCTCTTTTCTTCATTTTCTAGTTTAATAACGTTATTTTATTATTTACGTTTTGTGAAAATAATAAAAGTCTCAGTGAAGGTATTTCATGCGTATATCTATAGTACTGCTCAAAATTATAAGAGTACACGATTTTTGAAGTTTCAAATTTCAAATTTTTTGGACAGCTAAAATGATGTCCTATCAGTGAGATACATGTCACTGATTCATAAAAGGGCTTCCAGAAAAACGTTTCAATGGGATCCTCCAACATTTTCGAATTTTTTCCCCAACAATTCAGTCTTGTAGAGCTGATAATTCTGATCAAAGTGAGATCTCTCCAAGTTCCCTACGACTATCCATAGCTATGGATGGTCCAAAAACAACTAAAATAAGCACTTTCTTGTTTTTCTAAGCAGTACACGGCGGTTTTTTTATGCGTTTTACAATTTTTCATGCACCTGTAGCTCCGTGAAGGTATGTCATAGAGATCTCGTTTTCATCAGAATTTTCAACTCTACCAGACTGAACTATTGGAATAAAATTTCAAAAACTTCTCAGCAACTTAGGATCCCACTGGAGCGGTTTTCTGCAAACCGTATTTTCAAGACTTTTTATAAATCAGTTACATGTACCTCAGCTGATAGGGCATCATTTCAGCTATCCAAATCACTATTTGGATTTATTTCAGCTAGTCGGCTTCATAGAAAAATTTCGAAAATCGTGTACTCTTATAATTTTGAGTTACTATACTGTAACTAAGTAAGGACCAAGAAAATCTTAAACATAGAACTTTGGATTCTTATAACTTAACAATAGTCTTCAATATCTTTCTAAAATTCCAATATTCTTACATGATTCATTCAGAGACGGCGGACGTGAACCTAGACCTATGATCTGACAGGTCCATGTACAAACGTGTACTAGAGCTTGAGAGATACTAATTTCTAAGCAGGATGACTCTAATTCTCAAAGACAAGCAACTTAGGGATGGACCTGGATTTATAATCTGGATCTGAAATAATGGACCCATGACCTGTGGCATGGACCTACCGCTTTCAGACCTAGACCTCTGCCTAATTTGAACCTGTGACTTAGACATGGATCTGAACCTGAGGCCCAAAGTGAACTTTCGGCCTAATGCAAATAACTCTAAATGGGCATTTTGATACTAATTATATCTTGAAACAAGAGTGCTCAAAATGAACATTGTAATAAAGAAAACGGTACGTTTAGTGAACTAAACTGAACTTCCAGTAAAGTCTTGGATTTAGGTGTTATCACTTTATATTCTTTAGGAAAATGGTACGTAAAATGTAGTAACGTTAGTGTACTTAAGGAAAGGGTCCCCTTCCCCTATATGTGTCCTCGAACTATGTCAGTTTATAGAGGACACCTGACTACATATATCCTTAAGTTCTTTCGATGAACAACGGGTAAGTATTTTCAGAGTTATTAATTAATTAAATTTTAAGTGGAATTTGGTTAGCTAGTTCGCATTTTGCAAAGCTTGTAGCTCGCTTAAAAATAATTGTAGAAATGTCGTTCTTGCACGGTTTGATAGCCGATGGCCTGTTGTTATGATAGGATGAAAAAAGTTTTAAAAAAAGCTTTCTTAACACAATAATTTATAATTAATCACCTAATAAATACTGATTAATATCACTCTGGTGTGTTACACTTTTATTTGCAAATTAACGATTTATTGGATACAGTAACGTAATACGTCATTGGACAGAGATTTCCAGGGACTACAAATTTCTGTATTTGTCTTTTCAAAATGTTACCGATAAGCAGTTATTTGTACTCGGTTGTAGGCAAATGGGATTTCTACTATGGATTTCTCAACAGAGCGGCCATAAATGTTTTTTGAGTAACTCGAGAACGAAAGAGATAAAAAGTTCGAGTTTTCGGCATTTTGTAGAGAAGGCTTTATTATATCCTCACATCTACTTGGTGCTAAAAATCTTGGTTTTTCAGGCGGTAACTATATAGCCCAAAGTGGTCTCTACAATTCTGAGCAAAGCCGACCTCTCTATCTGCTGTGGTTCTCGAATGGCAGGCATTTTCCTGAGTCATTCGAAATTCTTTACCATTTGGTCAGGTAAAATGTCTGCCATTCGAGAACCACAATAGATCGAGAGGTCGACTTTGCGCAGTTTTGTAGGGAACACTTGGGGCTATCTACTCACTATGTTACAATCCGTCAAATTCAAATACAATCGTCTTTTTGAAACTGACATAGTTTGATAAAGTGTGAAGAGCCGCTCATTTACTGCAGTGTAAAACTCTTCCCAAAGATCCTGTAATAACAAAGTATGCTGCAGTAAAAGTTTTTCTCCACCATGCACCGTTTTTGCAGCATTTTTGGCACGGTTTTTTTCAAAATACTTTTTCATTTCCCAGCAAAATCCATGGGAAAAATTTTTTGTAACTCAATTTTGATCACTTCTTTTACGTTTGTGACCCCATAAAGGGAATTTATTCTAGCGTGACCCATTGAACTGTACAACATTTCAAAATGTTGAAAAGAAAAAGGGAGAGGACCCCCTTAAGAAGAGAATTCAGACCTAGAATTCAACTGCAGCACCAAACAGTATACGTGTTAGATTTAATAGTTGTAGGCTTGAGAAATAAAATGAGCGTTAGCGTTAGTAGTACTTCGATTCTGTATAATCAAAGTTTTCTAGTGGCTACTGGAATCGAGCAGTTACTGAAATACTATGTATTCAAGCTGCGTAGTAACCTAAATTATTTACATTAGGCTTGAAAATTCAGTTTGGACCACAGGTTTACGTCCATATTCTAATCACAGGTTTAAGTCCAGGTTCAGGTTAGATCGAGGCCCATGTCACAGGTCATAGGTCCAGATTTATTCGAGACAGGTCTCAGTCATAGGTCAGTTATGGTTAACATGGATCCGACGGTCTCTGGCTTCATCAATAGAGTCCTGTGGGGTGGGACGGACAGGATTCGAGCTAAAAGACTTATGGGTTCAGGAAAAGATGTAAAGAATATTGTCGTCCACTTTTATCTCATTTTTTCAATTAACAAGTTCTGTATTTTTTTGAAAGTGATCTCCTAAAATCCACGGTTTTGAAGTCAGATCTAATATTAAAACCAACGAGATGATGAAACTTCCATTATGTATTTAGAAAAAAATCAATTTTGCAACAAATGCAGGATGTGGAAACTTGTTGACTTCTTCTATAAGAGTTCGTCGCTCAGCAATTGTTCACCAAGCAATTTCAGCTATGGGAGATTTCGGATATTTACGAACGTATAGTTTTCTTAGTTCATCAAGACAAAACAAAGCAAATCCAAATCCAAGTGTAGGTAGGACGTATATAACGGGCACCGGAGCTGTATGAAAAATCCTATTAAACCAATGAACTTGTGTAACAAGAATTTGTACGCCCGCTGATAAAATCATACTGACAAAGACGGTCCTATTTCGTGCTTTTCCATAGAATGGGTTGTGTTTAAAGAACGATGTATATCGTGTACGAGTTGTAAAATAATTGAAATATTGCATTAAACAAATTGAACAATAATATATGCATTGACCTTTACGATTTATCATAGCCAATTCTTCAGGTGTTTTATCAATATATGGTTCTCGTCCAAACTTTTCATATGTGAAGAATATTGAACTCAAAGGAATGCCATTAGATGTATAATACCAAAAGTAACAAAAGAAACCTGCAAAACATTCGATAGTGCCAACAATAGCATAGGCATGAAATAATAATCTTCCATTCAATAAATGATCTTTGTGACGCACAGCCGGCGGTCTTGACATAATATCACTTTCTGCTTTTTCATTAACCATTGCTAATGACATAAACACATCTGAAGTAATATAGAACATGTAAGAGTTAGATTTGTTAATAAATATCTATATCTACTTACCATTCAGCATACAAAACACGGTGGCTAGAAAAGCTGATAGTGCCAGTGGGATACCTAACCAGATACTAAATAAAACAGGCCATATTTGAGACCATGTACCTGTTATATAGAAAAAAGATCTTGTAGTTACTACATGTCTAGGATAAAAAATACTGAACTATCGAACCTCCTGGCAATAGATAGATAGCAACTTTTTTCAAATTGTCATTCAATAATCGTCCCGTTTCTATTGCTTGTGTAATTGAAGCAAAATTATTATCCATTAATATCATATCACTTGCTTCTTTGGATACATCAGTGCCTGATTGCATCGCTATTCCCAAATGAGCTCGTTTCAATGCTGGTCCATCATTGGTTCCATCACCAGTTACAGCAATGATTTCTCCGTATTTTTCTAATTCTATGACAATTCGAAGTTTTTGTTCTGGTGATGTTCGAGCAAATACTATCTCTTGATGTGATAATGTCCACTCCCACATGAAATCATCCATTAATGAAAGCTCGCTCCCTTTAACAACTATAGCATAGGGAATATAAGGTCTTTTTTCGTGTTGTTGACGTTCCATTGGATCTGAAAAGTAAGATCGAAAACCACGCCAAAACCTTTCTAATATGTTATATTTTTCTACTTCTTCATCGTTGAATGATAATCTCATTGTTGATTTTACTACACTGGCATCTAGTACTTTTACTTCATCTAATTTGTGTTGAGAAATCACTTTATCATTTCGATATAAATCTACAGCATTATTATCATTTAATTCAAATCTATCGATACCGTTGAAATCAGCTATTTCTGGTGTCAATATATTACATTGTTTAGCAATTGCTTGTGCTGTTGTTGAATGATCACCGGTTACCATAGCAACACGAATATGAGCCTGCCGAGCTTTTGAAACAGCGTCTGGAACTTCTGGCCGTGGAGGATCCAACAATGAAAATAAGCCGATGAAACAGTACCCTCCTGTTGGAAACCCATTCATATCCTCTTGCTCTGTTTCGTGCTCTTTGTGTACTAACATCATTTCATCATAAGTCTTCAAAAGTAGTTTTTGATGACACATGGCAATGACGCGATAACCATGTTTTCCTACAGTACAAAAACGATTTGCATACGTACATTATTATGTCAAGTAAAAAATCAGTAGAAACTTCCTACCCAACTTTTCCTGTCTGTCAATAAGAATTTGCCTAATTTCGGGTGTTAAAGGTAAAATCTCTTTGTTGCTTGTTTTATATGTTGTGCATTTACTAATAACGATATCTGGTGCGCCTTTCAGGGTGATTAATACTGTTCTTTCACCATTGAATCGATTAGTGCCCGTTGTTTCCAACCGATTGGCCGTTATCAGAAATTTATTTGTTGAATTAAATGGTAGTACTTTTAATCGCGGATTCAACTGTCTCACCTTTTCTACATCAATGAAACATTTATCGGCACATAGGTTATATAAAGCTGTATCCACAGCATCTCCAACTAATTTTAATTTGGATTTCATTTTTGATAAATCATCCTCTATTTAACAATGAATACTTTAATTCTTCAAAAAACGCTCATTAACTCTTAACAATTAACTTACCCAATTCAGTTTCTGCTGCAAGTTGTTTTTCAGCATTATTACATAAAACTGCTCCTAATAATAGATCTTGAAATGGCCTGATTTTCATCTCACTTATTTCTAGTGGTAATTCGACGTCTGGTGTTGGCTCTAAGAGTCTTTCTGATTTCGAAGAACGATCACCAGATGATAAACGTTTAATGGTGTTAATCGTGCCGCTTGAAATTCGACGAATCGTATCGATCACTATTGTGGATAAACGACGAAGAGTACCCTCTACAGTTGCCTCTTTGGTGAGAACATGGTCAGTGTCAGGTACTTTATAAACACCTATTAACATCAAAAAGAAATTTATCGAAGACTGAAAAAAGTAGTTTTGATCATATTTTTTACCATTTATATCCCACAACACATGTGTTACTGTCATTTTATTTTGTGTCAATGTTCCAGTTTTATCCGTTGCTATCACTGACACGGAATTAAACATTTCAACTATTTGCAAACCTTTAACTAATACGTGTTGATTGTACATGAGTGTCGCAACAATTGTTAAGGCTAAAGAAAAAATGTACTATAGATTTTTTCTTTCATATTACTTACGAGGGAACATTCCCAGGTGCCGGAATCCGATTTCGCCCGTTCATGTGCCGATCGATAGGTCATTGGAGGTATGAAAAACGACATTTTTTCACTTCTTGCGCTTTTTAGTGTTCTCGAAGAAAATTCATAAAACCACAAAGGAATTTTTGTTTGAGCTTAAACTTTGGCAAATGTCTTACATATCACTGGGCTATCTGTGTGCAAGATTTCAGGTCGAAATTCGAAAGTCCCATTTTAGGCGAAAATGGGTCCTCCAGCGCAAAACACCCGTATAATGGGTGTAACTTTGAAGGAAGCAAATTGGGCAGATATCCTCTTAGGCTTTTTCATACCTCCATATGACCTACCGATCGGCACAGGAACGAAGGAAATCGGATTCCGGCACCTGGGAATGTTCCCTCGTTAGCCTAGGAAAAATGGGAAATCGAGTGGCGTTCATTTTCTCTTTTCACATTACAACCCTTCAATATCAAATTCAACCTTATTTAACAGATGCTAATGCTTACCTAATGTGATAGCAGCTGGTAGTCCCAAAGGTAGATATGCAACAGTAAGTTCAACACTATTGATAAGAATATCATTTGCCGATCGAAATCCTTTATGATACACATTTAACCATAAAGCCCATGATATCCAAATCAAGATAATTGTTATAACTGCCGCAGAAACAACAAATAATAAGAAACGATTTACTTCACGATGTAGTCCTGTCATTTCGTCTGCACCCGTTTCGCGAGTTAATTGACTCATTTCTCCTAATACCGTATTATCGCCTGTGCAAATAATGAGCCCTATACCGTTGCCTTGTACAATTGTAGAAGAGTAATAACAAATATTCGTTGTTTCCATAAAGTTTTCACTTGTACATTGGACGGTACAACTGACTGGTTTTGATTCTCCCGTCAAGTCACTATTATTCACTTTCAATCCATCTGATGATATAATTCGACAATCACCGGGAATTTTAGCACCACTTCTAAGAAGTACAATATCTCCCGGCACAACATCATTCGAAAGTATTTGTTGTTCCGTCGCATTACGTTTCACGGTCGCGATTTGAGGTATTAGTTTTGAATAAGATGCCACAATTTTAATTGATTTCACTTCTTGATAACAATTCAATGCTGCATTTAAAAGTATAACGAGACCGAGGAGTATACCTGTTGCCAGATTTGCTATATCTGGATTTGGTAATCCAAAAGGTTTCCATGCCAGAATCGCAAATAGTGCTGCTATCCACAAAAGTGTATTGAAACCCTTAAATGCTTGTCGCAGAACTAATTTAAAATAATTCGGCGAAGGAGGTGGTGTAATAATGTTCGGACCATATGTTTTTTTCAACTCATTAGCTTGCTCACTTGACAAGCCATATTCAGGATTTGTCTGAAAACGCTTGTATAATTCTTCCAATGATATAATATGTATATCGGTGTGTAAATGTGATTTATCTACGTTCGCAAATACATCGATAGTAGAATATTTTTTATTAATGTTTGATTGTTTTTTTTTATAATCACGATTTAATAAACTCGTTTCGTCCGATTCAAAATCTTGCTTATCCATTTTTTGTTAGTTTAACATGATAAGTAAGGGGGTTGTAATTAAAAACATAAAATATTATTGATACTCTTCCACACACCTGTACATTAATATTTTTACTAATACTACACTTTAGTTCATATTACAATAACGAGAAGTTTCAGAACGACAATATACAGCACATTTCGCTTGTTCTCTATATCTGTTTTAGCTACGACGATACGGTTGAGAAAGAATGAAAATATTTAAGTTTTTTCCCGTCTTTTTCATTCTGTCTAGGACTGTCATATGAATGTGATCAGAGCACGAATCGCGCGTGGGTCTGCTGCACTGAATTAATTAATATATAACTAATTCTAAAAACAGTCAGTTATTTTAATAACAGCCGAACTGTTTAGAATGTATCAAATCTGATATAAACAGTGCCCCAACTGTCCCAGTTAGCATTTAATTTGGTATATTGTACGAAAAGAAAGATTTTGATAAAATTCTTTACATGGAGTTTTTTCTCATTCTTTGTTTTAACAATAAACCTAAAACTGATCTGGGTACTTTTTTTTAAGTGTACTAGTTGTCGTCATCCGGTAGGTATCATCCCTAATATCCAGATGTCGCTGGCATACATGGTGCTTTAAGAACCGGTTTTGGATAAAGGTTATTAAATTTATAGTTGTGATATAAGATTAACTGAACTTTGAATCAGATGAGCTCACTATAAAGTGAACTGTTTTTATCTTTGTGTTACCTAGATACTTGTGCCGTAACTGAAACCGCAATGACAGAAAATCAAACACAAGCTGTATGTAATGAAGTAATGCAGAAACTGATGAGAGTAGTATTTTTCTGTAAAAGTCTTTTTATCAAAAGATAGGAGCTTTTCAAAACATATGGGTTTTAGTAGACCTAATTTCAGACGGCGGCCTACTTCTCTCATCTGGTGTGCGCGCACATAATGTTTAAAATGAAAAATATTTTCCAATATTTTAGATTATAACTGTTTTTCGTTCAACTATATTATGAAATATCAGGTAAAATTTTATTCAAATCTCAGTTTTTTGTATAGAGAAGGAGTTTCTCTTTTCTGAAACAATTTATTAGTATGGAAGAATGCGTCTGAATTATGGACTAGTGTTTTCCTAATTCTATTGTTTGCGTCAGCTTTTGAAGGCGTGACTAAAATGTCTCTCTCTCTCTAAAGTTTTTAAATCAAGCGCTTTTTGAATGCTTCGATGTTAGAATATATGTTGTATCAAAATTAATCACACTTTTTCCAATATACATCTGTTTTCTTCTAGTCGGAGTATAAACGAAATTATCAGAAATGGAGTCCAAAGAAAGAAACAATTGAAGAACGAAAATTGAGAACCGAAGGTGAGTACTCCAACTTTCAACTGATTTCTTGAGTTATAGTTTCATTTCCGTGTAGTTCCCATCCGACATTCCAGTGTAGAACCTAATCGACGCGCAAAATCTCGTGAACATCATCGTTATTCATCACCATTCGTTCATAGCCATGGTTTAAGTCGTTCAGAAAATTTTGCTGTCATCGGACCAAATGAGAAATTTTCTCAATCTTATTTGTATCGGCTGAAGGAACCAGTAAACGTTGCACCAGTAACAAAATCTCAAGAATTTGCTATACTAGGAAAACAGGATAAATTTGCAGACAATGTTGTTTATCCACTACGAAAAATCCCTGTGTATGAAGAACAACCAAAAGTAAGAATAATAATTCATGTTAAACGACGTAGTATCATTCAATTATTTTTACTTTACTAAGGTTGTTGTTCGTCGTAGACTGAATGATAAACACTCATGCGGAATACAGACTGTAAATATTATTAATATTCTTGTTCTTTCGGTCAGTCTTCACCGTTGTTTGTCTTATAGGAATTAAAACAGGCTCCGAGGGTGACATTTGATCCTAATGCTGGGCGAGACTCTATTTTTGTAAAGGTAAATACGTAGTCAATTTTCCTTTTCAGTTTCCATTATCCTATCTCTATTTATTCTCCAGAGACGAGATGGTCTTGAAACAGAATATCAACGTTCGTTCAACTGGAAACAATCTGTAACAGATCCTGCCAATGACCAATTGCTCCTAGAAGAAGCCAGATTGGTAAGTCTTTCTTTTATTGTATAAGTGAAATCAATAGCATATGTATATGCGTGTATATCTATTAAAGCGTGATCGACGTTCAGATCCAACGTTGCCATCATCTGTCATTGATCCATCTGAAAAGCTAATTCAACGTCCACAATCAGCGTTTGACGGTCAGCAAAAACAAACAACATCTGTATCTTCCAACACCCCAGCACATGTTGATATTGAAATTGAAAATCGAAAAAGATCAAGAAGTGTTGAACCACAACGAGGAAAAAGTAGCATAAAACATGACACAGAATATCAAGCAAGATTTAAACCCATACCAAATCAAAGAAGACCAAAAACGAGAAAAGCATATGAAGCTGAACAAGTTGAAGACAGAGTAAGTAGTGTAATATGATACAAATCCTTGTGATGTCTATTCGGTCAATAAAACGCTATATAGCGTTTTATTTCCAGCTTGCTCGAATGTATCGAACGAAAACATAATAGATTTTCTATGGAACTGCCTAGAAATTTTTTCAAAATTATAAATATAACTCAGCAACACTGTGATCCTCACAGTATCATAGAGAATGAAACTAATATTGATTTTTTAACCGACATAAAAAGATGACCTTTAAGTTATTTTCTTCTAGAAGCGCAAGCAACTACAATTTGCCGAAAGAGCTTACACAGATGACGAAGGTGATATTCAACTAGAATTTCGTCAAAAATATCCCCACGGTAAATTAAGGTAAGTTGAAAACAGAATTGTATGGAATATCTATTTTGTTTTGTATCATGGTACACTGTAATAAAAAAGATTCTGATATTAGACGGTGGAAATCAGAATATCAAACGACTTATAAGCCATTCTGGAAATTTGATTATAAAAATGGAAAATGGTTTCGTGATTCAACAGCCGTAAGTTATAGCTGTTACCGTATTTCTTTCTCTAGTTATATTGTTGTTTGTTAACATTCTATAGGAAGAAGACGGTTTTAATCCAAATTTATTCTGGTATAAAGAATTGATGTCAACAAGAAAAAAGGCTGACGAATTCAGAGCAAATGCGCAAGCTGATCATTTTAGTAGAAATCATACTTTACAGTTACAAGGACGAGATAGTAACGCATGGGATTTAGATTATCAACAACAAGATGATGATAATGATAGTGTAATATCGATTGACAGGTAAACTGTTTTTCTTACCTTTTGTATTTAATAAAAGCTGATGTTCATACACTTTTCAAATTTTAAACTTATGATTAAAGTGCCTTGTTCTGAAGATATTCGGACTATAATAACAATTTAATAAATATTTATTTTTTTCAAATTATTTTTTAGGTATTTGGAACAAGAACGTGCTGAAGGTCGTCGCAGACGTGAAAAAGCACATCAACAAGAAATACAATCAAAAATACACTATGATAAAGAAAGGTAGACAACTCAGATTTTTCTTGAATATTTTAATTCGTATCTCATAATCTTTAGACAACAAAAACCATCTACGAGAGATGAACATGTTCAAAGCGGAAATAATCGTCCGATTGTCACTGAATCAGCGACACAAAGTGACCAGCCTCATAAAGTGGATAAAATTGTCTATGTGGATATTGATAACCGTCAACGTCCCAGTGAGGCAACAAAAGCATTTGTTCGAAATCTTGGCTCGTCATCAGTTCAACATAATATGGCATGGGACTCCGAAAGTTTATATAGTCAAGATACAAATCCATCGGACACGTATGTCCTCTTGTACAATGAATTTAATCAGATCTAACCATTTTACTTTTAAGGGATTTAAAATCAAACACAGCTAAAGAATTTCGACATAAACATTATCAGTCAAAAGAGCAGGATTTAAACAACAATGACGTCATACGAACATCATATCAACAAGAAAATCCAACAACGATAAATAAATCACGTGGAGTTGGCACTCATTCATCACCATCAAGATTAAATCGACAATCAGGTAAATAACGTCAATTCTTCTATTGATATGTATACGATGTTTGAAAAATTTGACTTCAGATACTGGTGAAACAAATGGTAAATCGTATCAGGTTAGTGGGAAATTGTTCCATTCATTCAAGTAAATAATTGTTTTTCTACCTTTAAGAATGACTTTCGATCATCAACAACTGATGCAAAACCTGCAGCAGGTCGCCCATCATATGATACTCATAACATCGAGCGACATCGTCCTCAGTCTGCTAGTAAGAGTCTCCAGATGATATAAGTGCATGATTCTGTATAATGAAAAGTATTTGTAGATTATGTTCAAGCTTATGAAGACACATACAATTCTCCTAATTATTCACAATTTGGAAGAGATAACAATAAATCGAAAACAGAAGTGAATAATAAACAAACACAGCAATATTCACCAAAAAATTATCCTAAATTTCCATCAAAATCATCATCCGATAATCATCATACATCTCAACATCAACGTAGTCATCAAAATGGACGATTTAAAGATGAGGTGACAGAATATTATTACTCGTCGAACGATGGAAGAAAAAATGTTGAACAAAAGCCGTCATTTCAAAACCATTTAAACACGTTAAATGAGGGATTTGGTACTACGTATAATGTTAACAGGCAGCAAGATAAAGGTAAGACATTTATCAAGGTAACTTTATACAGTTAAAGAGTCTTTAAGTTATCAATGAAATAAATTTTCTTTATCAGTTGAATATATATTAAATACAAGTAATGTGCTTAATTTGTTTAGATGATGATGTTTTAAGTGTTAACTCTGCTCGTTCATTAAGTTCAAGTTGTAGTTTGGCTTCACAGACACTTGAACGTGCTAAACAAAATATGAATAATATGAATAAATATTGGGATGATAACAATCGTAATAATCGAACACGAACAGCAGTAAACAGTTAGAGAACTAGCCAAACATAGTTAAACGAATAAATCCAAATTCTTGTTTTTCTACAAAAAATCTGTATGTTTTTCAAACATTAACTTTCCTGTTAGTTATTGTCCTAAATATCTTTTGTGTGCGTTTTTGTTTTTGTGTTTTTTATCCAATTTTATATTCTTAGATACAGAACAGTTTCATTTATCATGGTTGTGATTAATTTGATTTTGTATTACCATTATTAATTTTCTGTATATAAATGAAAACTTTTTTCCCACTAATATTGGTAGATTTGTAATAAAAGAATTTTGTTTGTTATATTCAGGGGAAATGAAATACTCAATAAAAATTTTCGTCTATACGTAACACACAGGTTAAATGTTCAAAATACCAAATAATTATTTATTATGAGCTTATGTTATCTCAAACAAATGATAATTCTATAGTAACTGCTTTATGCTTTTATTTATTTTTTTTATTAGTATCGTTGTTAAAATATATCTGGACATTATTCACAACTCATATACTCAAAAACTATACTGTACTATATACTACAGTAGAAATAAATTTTGTTTTATCAAATTCATCATAATTCATATTTTCTTTTTAAACCAAAGAAGTTCACGTTATCCTTGAAGTCAGATTTAAAACTAATTGTAAACGACGGTAGTAGATTCAACAGATCAAATTTTCTTTTGTAAATTACATAGAAAGAGAAAACCTATAATTTTATTTTTTATCCTTTCTTTTTTTCTTCTTTCTTACTTATAGTTTTCAAGATTTAGTTATATATGTATGTTCAATTATACGTATTTTTTTTATATCATTCAATTTTTGAATAGGATTCGAGAAAAAAAGAGAAGAAATCATTGCGCTCAGCTACGTTAAATGAATGTATATATAGATTGTATACCTATATGTGACAAAAAAAAAAAAAAAGGTTGACAGAAATATTGTCGCCTCTTTGCATTTACTCGTACACCGTTGTATGTGTCCAATGAGACGTGTAGAGTATACATGTATTGAAATACTTTGTGTGTGTATATACGTTCAGGCAAGAGTTGGAGGTTCAGGGCCATCCCATCATTTTCATTGATGATCAGTGTTAAAAAATCATTTAAGAAAAGAGAAATACATCGTTTAAAGAAGAATTACTCTTCTAAATACTAACAAAAGAGGAGAACTCTGCTTCTTTTTATCATTAAAAAGCACTAACCTTAAGAACAGAATGATTTCGTTGTTCTAAAACTAAGATCTTTACGGAAGATCACTCTTTCATTACAACAAAACATTGTAATATTCAAATTCTTATTTTTATCACAATATCATCATTTAACGTGTCTATACGTCGTCTACTACTATCATTTAAATTGCATCATTTTCAATTGGTATCAACAGATTTATTGTACAGATCGAGACAAAACGATAACAATAAAATTACATTTAATTAATTAGATACTAGTAATGGATGAACCAATTTAAACATTTCGATTGTTATTATCATATATAATACCGTTGTTTGACATGAAATACGAGTATTAGAGACATAAATGATCATAACTTATTTCTTTCAAATAAACGTACGTATTTATATTTTATTGATCTTTTTTTCACTTAGTAAATGTTTATGAAGGACTACATTTACATGCTAAAGGCTTGAAGTTCTAACAACATTTATCCCGAGTTTGTTGAACTCGGTGTAAAAGTCTTAATTCTCAACTAAGTAAGATTTTGTTTCGTAATCCACTTGACACACATGGATGTTTTCATTCAAAAGAAACTCACAGCCTTTTTCTGTACAGTTGAATAATAAGACACACTATTTTCGTTGTATTGTTCAGTTGTTCTTCCGAGAAAACAGATCAAGACTTGTGAAAATAGTAATTTTATGTTAAGATCGATTAACCTATACTTCCGGAAATTGAAGTGATTATTTAAGATCGTTTTTCAATTGTTCATGAGATCGCCTTATATCAGGTATGTGCTAAAATTGATAATGTGATTCGATAAGCATAAAAGTGATGAAATCTAATATCTTGCTTCTGGTTGTAAATAAAATTATAATGTGTCTGGTACTTTCAACTAAAACTTGTCATTGATTTTTATCTGCTCTTGTTTTTTCTGTTTCACACACATACACTTGTCTCATTCACAAAACAGTTTGCCGAAAATCTTTTCCATAAAAAATAACATGTCTATTTCATAAGCAAATATACAAGTGAACCGTGAAAAAGCTGTTTATTTTTTTAACATAGTGAAATCTAAATGTTGAACGTTTGCAGGCTTCAGAAATGGCTGAATTTATAGTGTTGTTCAAACTTGAGCACTCATACACTTAATTATTCTCGTAATATCGTAAAAGGACGTTGTTTTCGTTCATATTTTAGCTAATACTTCTATCATCTTCTCGAAAAACTCTATTCACCAATTGAAAAATAGTATATAGTTGATCATATCATGGCCATCATCATACTTCTCTGACAGTCAGTCGCGGTACGGTATTCATGCTTGAATAAAGTTTACCTTGTAATATATTTTAAAACAAATGATATCAAACATAATAAATTATATTAACAAATATATGTATATGCACATATATATAGTTGATATATAGATATGTGTGAGTCAACGAGACTATTTTGATTAAAATATCGCTTTCATCCTTAACGCCTCTCAAAAAACACATTTCTTTGCATTCAATGATGATCTTTCATATTTTAGGAGAAAACGATATACTGCATGAAATGAAGATTTCCTCTATAAAAAAATATCTTAACAAGTTTCTTTTGACCTTTTGTTCTGCTTTATGCAAATATGCAGAGTACCTAAGAAGAACATGTCTAATGGATGAATGAAGATGACTTATCAACCTTACTATCTGGAATTGGGATGTGGCAGAAAAAACTGTAGAAACGCTTGGCCTGCTTTATTCGTTTTTTCTTCGCTATGACGAGTTTAATAATCGAAAGTGGCAAATCGAATGAAGAAGAGCTTCTCTACCTGTCTGTTCAAGAGGAGAGAGGAAAAGCACCATGTGGTTGACGGTTTTCAACGTTTGAAAAGTTTTAATTCAAAATTTTAAAAACCTCATTCAGTTTAGCCGAATGCAAAGTAACTTTCAGTTTTACCAGTAGAAAGAGCGCGAAAAACTAAGAGTATTCACCATCTTTCGCTGTCATAGTTCGAATTCTCCCCAAGAATTCTTTAGTAAATCATTAATGGAAAAGAAAATGGTTTTCAATAAAGTTATACGCAGGTTATATCAACGATCTACTTATGCGGCAAAAGAAATAAGTAGTAAACATCCTCAGTTTTTCGCGCTCTTTCTGATGGTAAGACTAGAAGTTGCTTTGCGTTCGGCTAAAGTGAATGAGGTTTTTAAAATTTCAAAGTTTCAAAGTTCAAAGTTTTTAAAATTTTGAATTGAAAATTTTTAAAAGTTGAAAACCGTCAACCGCACAGTGTTTATCATACTTCCTCTTGAACAGATGGGTAGAAAAGCTCTTCTTTATTCAATTTGCCATTTTCGATTATCAAACACACAAACAACGTCATAGTATACAGTTTTTCGCTGTCACTATAATGAAGAATAGGGTACAAGAAATCCCGATTTGTAGTAGTAGAAAAATCTCTGCATTTTCGCCACTGTCCACTATACAATTATCGCTAATAGTATGTGAATGTAAAGATTTAGTTTGATTCTTAGTTTTCAATATTGAGTAATAAATTTGATTAGAATAAGTAAAATTGTACAATATATAATCTTTTTTTTATTACATAGTGTACGCATAAATTAACAAGACCACCACAGTCATTTTTAAAAAGTGTAGACGAAAAGAGAAAGGAAAGAACAATAAAAAATAATGTCGTATTGTTTTCTTTTTTTTCTGTTAATACCCCTGGTAAGCTGCTACATACAAAGTCTATATATACGTACAAAAAAAAAGAACCATACTTACACATCACAGTAACGATGAGCTTTAATTCTCACCTGAGTCTATTTTTTGACAAATATAAATGTGTCATATTGATTCATGTATCAAAATAAATCTAGTTCAAATTAACAATAGAATTCTTCGATGTATGTGCGAGAAGAAAAAAATGTTCACAGATCTGATCAGGACTTATTTAGAGAAATAAAGGCGGTGACATATTGACAAATGATTTCAAATGGGAGAGAGAGAGAGAGGAGAGAGACAGAGAGGATAAATTTTAGACAAGAATGAATAAATAAAAGGATAATAAATCACAATTAGTTTGAGTGTCTATAACAGAATATTTTATTGTCCATTTGACATATCATACTGATAACATAGCTTAAGCCAAGTGATTAACTGCGAGCGCCGTTGAACATCTTTGCTTAACTGTGGTTTTATATTAATCTTTTTCAAGATCTAATGTCTCTTTTTTTTCTCTCCTTATATTAAGGCAAAAATGGCTTAAATTTAAACAAACCATGACAGATTTCAAGCGTACAGCAGCTGTATTAAACTATAGTAATGCATCGAAATTAAACGTCTCCCGATGGATACAAAATGGATACAAAAATGATTTTACATTATATTCGTCCGATGATTCAACATTAAAACCTAACACATTTAAACATGAACAAGAAAATAACTTGCTTTCAAACTCTTCTTCATCGACTCAAGCATTTTTCATCACATCATCATCATCACCATCTTGTTCGACAACGTGTTCATTACGATCGCCTCTCAATAATACTAATACAAAACCAACAACAACATGGCTGGCACAAGCTAGATTAACACGAATAGATTCTCATCGTAATAGTGTCAGTCAATCATTACTGACGAACAATAATAATAATAATAGTAATAATAATAATAATGAAAGATTAATTCGATCAAATGACGATAATTTACAAGAAAAATTAAATCGTGTTAGGTAGGTATGTTAATTTTAGCATTACATGCAAAACACGCATGTTATAAATCACGTTTTTCAATTTTAATATTAGAGGATAATTACAGTCCAATAATTAGTCAACAATAATTTTAAACAAAATCCCAGTCTCCTATAAATATTCTCTGCTAATGCGTGGAATCACTCGCAACTATACCGTATACATTGGTTAAAATAATAAAAGTTCTGAATTATGTATTGCCATCGATGATTGCGATATCTTTTAATTTTAGTACAGTAGTAACATTATTGGGAAATACACGAATTTTTGTTTCATTCACTGTAAAAAGGCAATAGCATTCAAAATGTGCCACACTATCATTAAGATTTTACCACATATTTTTGATTTCCACATCATATACTGTGAACATTTTTTTATTTTATTAATTCAATACACTAACCATTCTTACATCGGCATAAAAAGTAAACATAAGCTATTTTGAATAAATGCATATCTTTTCTTCCTGTCATTTTATGTTTGAAAAGATATAAATATTCGTTCAAAAAGTGTATTTATTAAGTGATAGATATTTCAGTCGATGTTATGTGGAAGAGACTAATTTTATCATAAAAGCATCTTGTGTCTTTGTCATTATTTTAGTTAGATATTATGCATTCGAAGATCCTATTAGTCTATATAAACATATACTAAATGCACTAATAGTAAGTCATATCATTTGTCTGACAACGATGTGTGACATACACTCACTCTCATATTAACAAATCATCATCAAATCCATATCGATAGAGAATATCGGTTAATAGAACATCAAAGGTGATTCGAATAAAAATAACTATAAAAATTGCACGTACAAAATATAGTTTGAGAAAACGAGCGAACCCTGATTTCTTCACTAAACTTCATCTTCATCCTCAATCATCCTCACTAATAGAAGAGAATATTTGAAATGTGTGTAGAATTTACTACAAATATTTGAGTATTATTCAAATATAATATTACAAAAATATGAATACACCTGTTTAGTTCAAAAGAAATCTAAAAAGCTTCAATTATCCTAAATATCAATCTTGTCTAGTATATGAATATGAAACGAATCAAAGTATTTGATTCTTGTCCTAGAAAGGATTTATTCTATTTTATTGAAAAAATATTTTTTTCTTCTTTTTAATTTAGAGCGCAATTAGATGCTAAAAAGCAACGTCATTTATTATCAATACGTTCAACAACGAATAACAATGAAACCTTTATCAATAATGATAGTAGAAGACGAGACGCATTTCAAAAAGATGATAAACTATCGTCGCCGAATTCGAATGATTTATTATCGATGATACGAACTACAGTGCCTACAGAGGTATGTCTATATTCTTGATTATATAAATATTAAAGAATTACGCAAGAGGAAACCACAAAAAGAGTTCAATTCAATATGTTTTTAATATGTATGTATATACATTATTTCACACTCTGGAATTAAATGTCCATGAACTTTAAGATGAACATATAATAATCATTGAAATTTTTCTTTTGTCTAAATTTTGACAAAATATAATTTCAAACTTAGACGTCAAGAAGTAAAAGAAAAATTTGATGTAAAAAGCCATACTTCATCGTGGAGAAATTTCAAAAACAAATCTTTTGAGCTATTTGATCTCATTTGACTATCGTAGAAACATAAGGAATAAGCATGCAAAGGATGCTCAAAAGCTCTTGTGTAGAATTTTAATATTACATATAGCTAGAATGTAATATGAATCTGAAAAATGTATGATATGAGAAAATTGTTTTCGGATATTTATACGCGTTCTTGTGTTTGTTTTATGTGGGACTTCATGTTATTGTTTAGACTGAATTTCAAAAGAATGATAATCCGACGACAATTCTTTCTTTTAAAAGTATTGGAAATTCACCTGTTTCTCGACCATTTCCACGCCTTTCCAATTTGCGAACATCTGTATTTTCTGTCAATTCGTCTGATTTAAACGACAGAAATTCATCGATTTCATCCTATTCACCGCCTACAGTGGCAAATTCTCATACTCACCATCATCATATTCATTCACCATCACATTTAACACCACCATCAATGCCTTGTCTTGTTGAAGAATCTCCAAGCGAAACGAATACGAGCTCCGGTTTTAGTGAAGAATCAAAATCAAATAATGATGGTGAGAGACAAGAACCAACAATGGATGAAAATACAGTGTCTAATAATCCAGCCATCATAGACTTGACAAGATTGATATTTAGGATAATTGAAGCTTTTTAGATTTCTTTTGAACTAAACAGGTGTATTCATATTTTTGTAATATTATATT